CACTAACGGCACAGATTGACTCGCGTGTAATATCTGACAGCGGTATGATCCAGGCGGATTTTTTGCAGAACACCAGTGTTAAACTTGTCTTCAGAGAGTATCACGTGTTTCCCTCTGTAGTAGACTTAGTTCGGAACAAAACCTTTGTTGTCCTTTTTCTCCGTCTTCGATGTTTTTATTACAATTTTTATAACACGTGCTCGAAGATATCCTGTACTGAGCAGACAGGCGATGCATTATTCTTTCTCTGTTTCGTTCAAAAGATTTCGTAACAGCAGCTCGTTCTTTTGTTAAAGGCTCTGAAATGTCGCGCCACTTTGGTGGCCTCAAACGTTCCAATTTCCGTTCGTGAAGTAACTGCATGAGTCACTGCGGTTTCACTGAAGATATTCTTGTTGAGTGCTTTTCATTAATCTTCGACAAATACTGTTTTTTAAAAGACAGATCTAATGACTAAAAATTGGATTCATCAATAGTTTTGTTTTTCAGCGCATTATTCATTTATAACACAAGGTCTGTTTACTGTCGTAGGTAGCCCAACACTTAAAGTAAATAATAGGAGAGTTTAAAAGGAGATTTAAATGTTTCGATCTACTAGCGAGCCTCGATCAAGCAAAATACATGGGAAGTAGATAATCGAAGCTGGATCTGGCTGTAATTGAATATATGGGTCATAAAACAACTCACGGAGTCAACGACCAATGTTTAGACGACCCCAGATCTGATATAGTCATCCTAAAGGTTGGTGTTTACCTCGTCCTTCTATTGTAGAATCGGTTTCATCAGACATGCGTTTGTTTCGGATAGTACATTGCACCCTATAATCAGGTCGACTAACTAGCAACCTAACCACTAGGAAGGGAAAATCAACCATAGAAATGGAGAAGTGAACTGTTCAATCCCTATGGTAAGTACTGCGCAGAGTTGTGAATGATAACGCAGTCTATAATTGTACGATTTTGTAGGAGAATAGAAGTATGCTGACAGATTCTAATGCGCTATCCTCCCTCGGGTACGGAGCGCGGAATGCCACTCGTATCTTTCACCCCACCGACAAAAGACTTGCCAAAGGCATCGGACAGGGCGTGATGCCTACAGTAGAGAAAGGCTTCATATTTATCTATCTGTATTCAAACCAGCCACAAGGCTTAACTGGGCGCCACCCTAGCGAGTGTGGTCAACTTGGTGACATTCGGTAGTCGGTGGTCGGCCAGACCATTAGAAAAAACAACACAACAGAGCAGATTGGTAACATTAGAGCAATGAACTGGAGCCTCAGCGTCGCAATCACATTTACTAGCCATCGATTGCGGAGCTATTCAGCCCTGTTATTCCTTTTGCATGGCACGTTAATATCTACCCGATGAAAGGTTACATTACGAAGCAGCACACTATGCCTGGAAATGTATATCGGTCAATGCCTGTTCCACTCCAGCAATCGCAATCCGCGGAACTCGTCCACTATGAGTTGTGAGCAACTTTGTGTACTGAATGATGGTAGTAAGTGAGCGCTGCAGATTGTAACTTCCAAGCTATCACTATCACCCTTAGCCAATAGGTATATGATTCTATTTTTGAGAGCTGGCACCTGGCACCTTGTACAACTAAAAAATTGATGCGGTCACACTTCTAATGATGAAGGGTCAAACCTTCTGCATTACTCTGAAAATTAAGGTAATTTATATATTTTTCTGTAAAACGTGTGCAGAAGATGTTTCTACGCTCCAAGCCAAAGTTAACCTGTAAAATGCTTGAACATTTCTGATGATTTTCCTTTAGGGTAGCCGATAACATTCACCTGAAATATTCTTGACGTTCCTAAAAAGATACCCTTGTCAAAAATACTGTTCTCACTGTTCCAATTACCGCCCACTACACCTTTATTTGACTGGTGATCTACCGGTTGTTCTTTCTATCGGTTTTGCCCCGCAATTTTTCGTTTCATAGGAATATTGTCTGTCTATATCGTAGGATTAATAGGAGAGCTCTTATATCACAGAACACAGAACAGATCCAGTGCGCTATAAAACGTTTACAGTTTCGCGAATAATAAAAATAGAAAGGTTCGAGTTGAACCTAATCGCCTGAGTCAAATTGATCTCATCGGTTAAATAAGCTAAGTAGAAATTTAACCTACAAGATGAAACTAGAAGCCTTCCTTCGTAGCGCGGTCTACCTACCGGGTACAAATTTTAACTGTATTAGAACTAAAATTATTGATCATTTGATAGTCTCACTGCCTTCGGCACATTACATTCATCGATGCATTTTGTTATCAGTGTTTATCTTTTACTTCAATGTGGGTATCGTTACGTATAGATCCCTAAAAGGGTTGTGCCGGAAGATCAGATAGAAAGTATACATGGCCACCACCTCCTGGAAGTTACCACCAACTTTTCTATTGACTGTTCGTAGAATGGCTGAGCTGTATCTTAAGCTCGTTGACAAAATTTCTAGAATAGCACACTTTCCGGTAAAAACACTGTATACACCATAAGCTATTTTCCGAGGAAACATCGAAGCGGTCCTGACCAACTATCTAGTTGTCGTCTTTATTTAGTTTCGAACCGTATTAGGCATACCTTTAAGAGATGCTGCTCTGTACAAATTAGTTCGTGGAAGTGGAAGATTGCTTGATAATATCTTAGACCTGTTTAGGACAGTACGACGAAAAAAGACCTCATCGCGGATTACGAGGTCGTCAAGCTGGATCTGTTTGGTAGATTAAAGCAACAATATCAGTTTGTTTTTATTCGAAAGGAATCAAGAGGCATTATCTACAAGTAAAGATTACACTGGACCACCTTTAAAAGATATGTTTACAAATTGGGCCTAGAAATGATGTTCCGAAATGATTCAATGCGATGAACTTTTGTCGCGGAGGTCCGCTTAGCACGAAAAATTCACTGGACCTTGGTGGCAATTTAGTTAATTTCACCTTCTACCTGGGACAATGGCTTACCAGTATTTCATCCGGGGGTACGAGTCGTCAATCGATAACAAATTGACTGGAAGGACAGAGGTAGATGTGTTTCGTCATATCGTCTTCTGTCCGATCCCTTCATACGGTGACCTTAGTGGCTATTATTGCTACCGGCAACTGCAGAATCCATGCCCCAGTATCATCAACTGTCGCGCTCATAATTTGATTTGACTGACAATGATGATGATGACGACGATGATTTCTGGTGTTATGAGCCAGCTTTGCGTTACTTTATCCCACTTTACGTATATAATTCCTTCACAGCACGATACATAGACTGCATAATTATGAGCGTGGTTAGCTAATGTCGTAGACAACATATTCAACCTCTGTAGGTTCGGTACACGGTGTATTTTAACCATGTATACAGCACGCTGGAGATAACAAGTGCACCACGAATGATAATTTATGAATATTCAACGCAGAAATGACTGTTAGCCAATTCAACTCGTTTTTTCTTATATGTTCTATATGCATTGTGTACCTACGGTGTTAATAGAAGTTATAGATGGTGAAGAGATAGACCGTTGTTCGGAGACTGATAATACTGGCTAACGGCCTAACGATGGCTGAATTAAAAACTTTTTATTGCTTACATTCTTGACGGTAGAGTATCTGTCCATAGCCGTCAGGCACACATTCGCGTGGCTGCGCCTTGTGGAACTCAGATGTGCCGGCGATATCCCGTCCTTGTTGCGGTTCCTTTTAGATGGCATCTTCGCAAAGGGCGCATGCCATCACCACAATACTCTAAAGATCTTGGCGCACTTCCATCCTTCTTCATAGCACGTCCCCGGCGCTTTCCTTCTGGGGGTCACCGTTGAATCTAGTTACTTCGTACCGTACATCCGGCCGTTTGGTACCCGTGTGACGTACCTCTGGTCCTCTTTGTTGGTCAATCGCCTTCCGTCGACAGCCATCCTTCGCGAACGATGCTTATTGCTTCAGCGCCAATGACCACTAGGCCTCGACTGCTACCGTTATTAATAGTTTTCCCAAAGGCAGCTTACCCTGTGTGAGAATCTAGTCCCAACCGACCTGCCTATTGTGGTGATCTGACCCGTAGTTCCCGCGTTTCCGGCCTTGTTCTTGGCCAACTAGACAATCTCCACGTCTTGTGGTTCGGTCGCTTCCATTAAATTTCAAATTTTATTTAAATTAAAAAAGATGCGTAATATGTTGTAAAAATTTTGTAGAAATGCTTCCTTAATCATGCATTGAGATTGTTCGAAAAAAACCCCAGAATGTGTGTTATTTCCGAAAAATTAACAGGCCACCCCTTACGTGGGTTGATAAGGATAAGGAGTGTGAGAAACTTTAATGTGGTAAAATAATCTAATTTGGCCTGAATCTAATTTGGCAGAAACAGATTACGGGGCAAAATCTACAATTTCATTTTTCAAAAAAGGAAAGGTTGTGAAAAAAATTAAGGCGAGCTCACATTACAACACCGCTTAACAGCGGTAAGCAAGAGTTTAGAAGTATCATTGAGTTCCTTTCGGGGATCGAATCTAGGACTTTTGGTTCGCTGAACTTACACACTTTGTTCTGTGGAATGGAAAGTTAGACCCTTCCTTCTGCTGAAAAATTGATACTTGAGTGCACTTTATCATCAGCACAAATCATACTGAATATACTCAGTAGAGTAAAGTTTATCACAGCAAAAGTGTATTTTTATCGTGGAACAACAAATTTTCTCGCATAACGAAACGGTCTAATGAAAATTTCCTATCCAGTGCTCTAAGGTATTCCAATGACAATGATGTTCGAATAGGAACAAGTCTAAAGAATGATGTAATAGTGATTAGGCTAATTCAGATTAGGCTAAATAATGTCAGGTCTCATGTCGGTAATTAAAAAAAAAACAAAAAAAAAGGAAAACATTTGCGAAAGTTCTGCGAAACTGTGCGAAAAACCACACTATAAGGTGGAGTCTATATACCGATTCAAAGAATACTCCAAGTAAGACCTCCACCAAATGTGAGTATTACTTGAAATAGCGCCGACGCTCGGGAGAAAACGCCGGGAACGTTTCCAATAGAAACTACCAGGTCCATTAAATTGTTCTGTTTGAAACTTCAAAGGCGATCGTATACGTGATAAAATAATTGAGGCAAGATCATCTGTTTACATGAACTCTCGACAACTCCCTACAATGAAGCTCTAGAAAAGGAAGCTTAAAGAAAAGGAAATGAACACTCGTGAAAATAAAGCGCGAAACTTTATTGTTACCTAGCCTGAAAACTGTTTACTCTACAATCTTTTTCTCTTGCGTTCATACAAGTACGTTCAATGCTATATATACGATTAAATAAACAATTAGCTCACCATATGAATCGAAATGTCCGCGTGTCAACGTTTTAGTGCGCGTATTCTTCTAATGACTCACGTCAAGTTGCCGTACTCCCTAAGAGCACTAATGTTAATTGATGTGAATTCTTTGTATACATGTCGACTAATAAATGAAACAAAAAAAAGGACAGGTATTTATAATGGAGTAATTCCTGCTATGCAAGTAGTAGGCATCTGTCCTTGTTTGCAGTGTTTTTTTACCTTCCCATATTTAGGTCTATTCTATCCTATCATGCCAGCCATTGTAAGCCGAAAATTTATCTTTGAAGTTTCGTTTTATATTTACAGGAGATGGGAAATTATATTGATACGAGACACTACAAACCATATGGCAAGTTGAAGCCAAACATCTCGTATGATTTTTTCTGTGGGATCGAAGCCTAAAGCCGCGTCGTAAGTAACGTCGCTATAGGGTTTTACAGAGACGAACCCTAAGCATGTATTAAATGAACTATACATATTTATTGAATTATTATACATTTATAGTAGAGACGCAAATGTGCCCATAAATTTTTTTTTCTCAAAACAAGCAAGTAAATGTCTAACTAGATGTATAAAACATCCCATTCTGTTCCACACATCTTACGAATACTATGAAAGCGACGTCAGAACACTTTGTTAAATGTATTATTTATTATATGTGTTTTTATACTACATTCATTCGTTCGTTGGCACTGTGGTGCGATGACTAAAAGCCTCATTATAAGTGATTATAACAATACTAACAGATCACAAATAATTTGCTGCTTCTGCGGGCGCTACCGTTTCCGGTCACAGCAAACGTTGTTTTGTCAGGCTTAAATATACAGGATTGTGATACCGTCCAAACATCTAATAATTATAGATTTCTAATTTGTGATGCCTTCATTTTATCGATTGTATTTTTCAAGCTAATGTCCACTGACATCATTTTTCAGTATGTTCACTGCGTCGTCTCTATAAGACATCTACAGCAGTTCCTGCGATTCGTAGTCGTGTTTGTTTGTTTGCCTGTCAATAGCTACCTCATTTACTTGATAAAAACACATTATTTTCTAAGCCGTTTTGTATTTGTATGTAGAGTTAAAGTTTTCCCGTTGGACGTTGACGACGTCCATATTTGAATCATGAATGCCACGAATGCCCAAGAGCAAATCAAATACACGCTCTATTCGAAATATTAATTCTGCTCTATTTGTAGAGGAAAAAAGAAAGCGTTCTATGTGCGTTTTACATGATCATCACTTTGTTTTAAACACCGAACTTTGAAGTAGATGCACAAAGCTATCCCAGTGGCTGCGGATATACTCGAAAGTTTTACCATTTCCATATAATTATAACTTCTCAGCGCGATATAATATTCGACACATCGGCATAGTTGAACTTGGTCGGACACCTCTCAACAGCCTACAGCTACGAGGCTCAACATATAAGCTTTACTACAACACGCTGCAATATGGTCGTCGTTCGGCTTCACCAGGTAAAGATCTCAAGGATTTAGCACAAATGAAAAACTGGTGTCAACAAGCAGATCGAACTGACCTTACTAGAGGACAAACTATGGATAAATACAAATCGGACGCACCTATATGATTCATGAGATGATCGACCGACCAGATTTAACAACTTGTAATAGTTTCTACTATATTTAAGTTTTAACCCAACTATCGGCATAGGATGCTAATCTGTTTCTCTATTACGGCGTAGGTTACCTAAGCTTTGTTTGTTGTCCCAGGTCACCTTGATATTCCGTTTGTTCATCCTGGCATCACACTGGTCGACTAAGAAATATACAAGACCTTAACATCCTGGCCTTCGAAGGCCCGTTGTCGCCGTAGGTCGGAACGTATGAATGCTGAAACGCGGTCTCTGACGTTAGACGAAAGATGCGAAAGACTATCTAGGACGAACGTCCGAAAGAAATCATTTTTATTCAATATGCAATGGGGCCTTAAAGTGATGTCTAGAGACTGAACTGCTTAAAATTTGCTATTGACGTAAGCGCAGAATACATTTTGCTGTTATGCTGAATACTTAATTGATCCGCGCTTGCTTAATTAGATAAAACTTCCTTCTAAATATACCTTGTTTGTATTTTTATCTGTACCTGTCATAGCTGTTCCGACAACAAGTGCAGTTGCTAAAGCTAGATTTGAGGGTACATCGCCGAAGGCACTTTCGATTTTCGTGGCACCGAGCGTAAACAGGATTCCGAAAATCTGCGCAGAAGCGTTTAATAAGCCTGAAGAGGTGCTTTCAGGCTCCGGATAGGTCAGTTCTGATGACAACTCAAACCCGATAGGTAAATAACCCGTCATGAAGAAGCCTAGTGTAACACATTCGCATGAATTAAATTAGTGATAAGGACGGTCATTTTTGTTTGGTTCAACTTAATTGCGACCTCTAAGCTACAGTTTTGTTCTTTGATGCTGTGAGCAGTTACTCATAATATGTCTTCAAAAAAACCAACTACACAATATTAAGTTGTCCTACTCACGCAAACACATCACAACAACATGCGTTCATCAATTAGTGCACATGTTTCTAGACGTATAAAACATGTATACCTATGTAAATACAATGCACTTATTGTTATCTACTACACTTTTCTTCTATGCTTTCATTCGAATGTGTTGCGCTTAATACAAAATATTAAGTTGAGTCATGTTTAATTCATTTAAATAGTACCGAGAGATGCGGTGGTTAGGAAGATGACAGGCACTGATCGTGTTCGCAGGACAAACGTGTAAACGAACATTAATAACGTCGATAGAAGATAAAGGCCAAGCGTCACCTCTTTGAACTTCTTGCTTTTGTCTAAGATAACCCCACAGACGACAGATCCAACCATGCCGGCGATGACGATAGACAAACCCATAAAGCCGATCGTCGTATCCTGGTTCTGAAATAGTGGCGTACACGAAAACGTAGCACAATTAAAGGATATGACTAAATTGGTTTTCACAAAAGATCCATATAAGCGTATGTGTTAGGTCTCAGATGTCCCGTTACTAAGTGGCACTTGCCACTGACACCACTATTCGAAACAGGTGGTCGGTCATCCGTTAGTGCGATGTCTAGAGACCATGCCGAGAACTGCACTACCGCTAATCAAACTCTTGCAGGCCCGCTTCCATAATCTCTAGTGTTTACGGCCTGATACTGTCGTAGAGAAAGATGATTTTGCTTTTGTTTTTTTTGACCGGGTCCAACCTGTTGGATAACCCCGTTCACTCAGGAATCAGGTACAGGATCTTGTTTTTCTCGAACATGCTTAGTGTACGCGATCCGTACAAGCCTACCAAACGTAAGTCATTGTCTTTTTAAGATGGAGATTTGGTTGAAATGTGGACTCATGCGTATCTTTTGGAGCTACCCGTTGAAGGCACTAATTCTCGTCACCGATGGCCATCTGCGTAATTCTGGATAATTCAGACGATTTCCGACTGCAACTACGTGTTACCGAGCTGTGAAGGGGCAATGAGGAACCATGTTTATTTGTGCTCCTCACTCAGTTTGAGGTACCCAGGTCCCCAAAGCTTTGCTAAGTTCCATAGATCTGTATGCATTTCATGTTTTCGTACAATTTAAAGCAGTCCTTTTAGGTAAGTTCCGAATATCTCATTCGGCTTCGGCAGTTCTCTCTGACTTCGGCGAAGTGAAAAATAAAATAGGTGTCGAAAATGCAGTTTCGACATAAAATTACGTCAGTTACACACTAAACTTATAATGGACTAGTAGAGGAAAGAAATTATTTTCGAACAGTGTATAGAGGTAAATAGGCGAAGATACATAAAGGAAAAAGGAACATAAATGAATAGCCCGCTATTTCTTATGTTTCAACCGAATAGATTCTCAAATGTAAAAAATGGCCGATGTAACACGTGCTTTATAGATAGGTAAATCGTATTTGACAGAAGAGCTATGTAAGGAAAAGGCAATATTAAAATCAATACTATTAATATAAGCACATTAAATAAAGATTGCACTATCTATGCAATACTCACTGGCAAGTATTGTGAGAGAACTTGATTAAGCAAGGTAGAAATGGCATAAAAAACTCCGACATTGACACCGTAGGAGAGAAGTAACAGGACATAGGGAACGTTGGTGGCCAAATGTCGAAGTGTTTTGAGGTAATCAGGGTCAAAATCGTTTGAAATTTGAGCTCTGTTTGGAGGTATAGCGGGCTTCTCCTGAAAACCTGTTAAAGGTCACAATTAACTATTATTAAACTACCATACGTCTCCGAGATAGTTGTCCATAGGCGTAACATTCAGAAAAGTATGTGTGTCACCGAATCGGAACTAAGCCCGATGAATCGATACCCAAATATGGAATACTTTTACTATATCCAGCAAATAATGTTGCCTCTATCGGCAAAATGTAAGAAAAACATATAGTATTGAGTGGTAGAATGATGTTGCTGAAACTAATATAAGTGGGTTAATGATAAAATTGGTTTCGACATACCTATAAAGATGGCGAGTAGCACTATCGTAGCACAGACTGCAGCTCCGCAAAAGAGCCTGAAGAGATTAGCCGCTGTTTCAGCCGGGTCTTGGCCTGACGGTACCACTATCGGGGGAATGACAAAGCTCAGCGCAATACCAACCTGTACAGACCGATTAAATCTTTAGAAGATCGCATTCACCTTTACATTGGAATGATAACAATTGTATCTACTGCCCAAAACAGGGCTCAAAGATTATTGTAATTGCAGTGGGTTTATTAAATACACAAGAGAACACAACGGATTTAAGATGGCGTACGGTTTCGTCGCATTGTGGATTTGTTGTAACAGGTTTTTTTTTTTCGAAATAAGTAAAAGAGCACAATTATCAGGATATTGTGCAAGATATCATGTTTTTTGTGTGGATTGACCTTCAACCTACAATGCGAAAGTATAACTAATAAAGTATAAGTAATTAAAAAAAAACATTAAACTAGAGAATCGAGCTTAAGTTGAAATGATAATAGGCATTAACATGTGAAACGTTAGGAAAAGATCAGTAGAGTTAGCTTCTAGCTAACCTGGTTTCCAAAGACTCCAATGGCGCAAGCCCTGGATACCTCTTCCGGACTAAACCAGACGGCTGCCAAGCGTGGGGGAACAGACAGGATAAAAATCTGAGAAAAGGCCACAATAGTTTGGCCACTCATTGAGATCCAGAATTGATCGGGCTGTATACCGAACACCTATAAGCAAACAGGAGTAATTACACAAACCGCTAAATCATTAGCCATTTACAGGCAACAGTTGACTGGTAAATGTCTGATCTTCAGAGTGCATAATTTGCTGCTATTAGATGTATGATAAAATTCAGGTATTCTAATTCTATTCTGTATATGTGCCATGTGTCCTATATGAGCTGTGTGGAAAATCGAACAGGTATTCGATACTGATCTTAGGTGGTCGTTAATAATACCGCTTGCTTTATACGTGACTTCATGAAAGGCTCCGAAACTTCAATTTAGGTAAATAACCCCCAATTAACGTCACAATAAGGCACATGGTACGAATAAGAGACTAAAGTACAACCAGCGAACTACATTGAGCTGGCAGTGAAAGAGAGATCGAAAAGGAGGAAAAACTATAGCGTACGATACATGTACAATGAAAACACTACACTTTGCGGTCCATACATCACTTAGTCTGATTAACTTGACATGTTTTGATGTCAACTGCGTTTATTCGAGGCATCGACCAACGTTATCGTAATAAAAACGATGATTAAAGTTGTACTAGACTTTCTATCATCTACTTTTCAAATGGTTTTGAAGATGTTGTCATATTCTAAATATCTACATTTAGAGGTCGTCCCTACCTTAATCCATGAACCTAACGCAGTTCCGAATGCGCCAATGACGATAACAAAGCGGAGGCCCTTTTTCTCCATAAGCCAGGTGGCGGGAAAGATCAAGGGAATGTAGGACACCGAATAGACGAGAGCTGTCCAATTCACTGTTTCATCGTCCTATAGGAACGGAACGAAAACATCACCAGAGAATAGTGGGACGCCAGCAAATAACAAAAAAGTGACTTTCCATTATAATTAGACTGGACAGACATGTAACAATAGCAATCCAATTGATACCATGTATAATCCATATTAAGGAGCTTAAGAACTTTTAAGACTTGCGAAAACATCCTGGTTCCTGCTGTTGATCTATTAATTGCTACTATCAATTTAAAATAGTTGTAATATATACAAGCTAGGAAGCCTACGTTACGATTTTCTGTGCTTTACTTCGAAGGTTGTATCTAACTAGAAATCGACACCTGAACAAAGTTTTACATTTGCTAAAAATATCACTCGTTGTGATTTTCCATGTTTATTGAATAAAACCACGTTTCACCAATATAGCTTCGATCCGAGACCTCACCAACTCAAGCATTGCCATAACTTGAAACTAACTTTATTCAAACAGTAAGTGCGTCCCGAGTGGTATATTTATAAGTGTAAACCCGTTAAAGTGTCACTGAAGTATATTACACACAAAAACAGGCTCTGATAGACAAGTCCCAAAAGTGCAGACGTTCACAGTAGCACACTTTTGCATAAGTAAGAGGTAAAACTAGCCGTTAGAGCTCATCTGGATCGAAATCTATTAAAATTTTAAGCCACTTTCGTGAATTCTTAAACTAAATGTTTTAAATCTATAAACTATTGAACATCTTCCAGTTCGCATTCAAATCGTTTCTGGATTTCGTAGAAACCGTGCGAAAAATACTAGGTCTTCAATGGTGAGCAAAAAAATGAGTTTTTAATTTTACGGGAGTTCGTTTAACGCAAAGAGATTCGATAATCCCTTGAATTGCTAAAACTATGCTTGAACTTCCAGCGTGAAACGTTTGTTGTTTCGTTTTGGAACGGACGAGTTTTTTGTAGTGTTGAGGATAGTGAATGAACGCATATCCGTCACAACAAACAGTCCGAACGTTTGACCCGATGTTGCTGACGCACACTTATCATTGCAATAACAAAAGACACAAAACGACTTCTAAATTTCCAATTGCAGATTGAAGTTTTCTAGTTGTGCTTAGAGGAATCTGCGGAAGGAGCAACACTCGCAGATGCAAACAAAAAATCATTATCAATCTCTATTTGTTGATACATGTGGTAGCCATAAAGACACCATTCGATAAAATCAACTAAACACTTTTTAGTGTCCTGAATAAAGGGTCACGAAAGATCATCGCTTCTTATATGAATAGGGATAGTCACTAGGCATTACTAGGGGAAATGCATGCCTAGCCTTTCAGTTTTTTCCATATTTGCGATCAACCGCACCCGTGTACCTACCTGTATTTGGTAGTGTCGCTTAACGATATCGTGAATTATGGAATATTCTACCCATCCGAAGGCATTGACCATAGAGTATAGGCAGAATAGAAGCAAGATCACATATCTGTAACGGAAAACCCGGGTGACACCCTGAACTGTCCCGTTTGGCTGGAGTCCACCAGACGTCAGGGTCGATGCTTGATCTGTCAAACACAGAAAAAAACAGAGAAACACACAAATGACATATCGCGTTTCGTGTGAGGTGAATCATTTTATTGGATGTGGCGAGTATTTACAGTGATCGCGGTCCACATAAATTGTATATCCTGAATAGCCAGCCGGCTTGAACGTATGTTTACAGATAAACAAAAAACATCACAATGTGTTTACATATTAGTGACAAACATATTCACGAGATGTTTTGTCATTCAACAACTTCTTTAACATAGTGGTACTATACACTATCTACGTGCACATATGACCGTCATTACATTAAGTTAAGACATGCCTGATTGAAAATCAAGACAAAGAGTCTTGTGATCACATTCATGCAGTAACATCGTTTTCTCACAATTACTCTGATTATTCAGAATAGCAGTCTATCGGCCGCTCAGTTTAACCTATTCGTCTGTTATTAATAAAAAATTTCGTCAAGAAAAATGACCTCGGATATCGTGACGTTACCGTCAAGCAGGGTGAATGAACACGCGTCTGAACGACTAAATGAAAAAGACCGCTGATACTCGAGTGAAAGGTCCCTGCAGCGTAACACACTTGTTGATTCTCGCGATTTTTTTCGATTTCGTTGACGAATGTTGCCTTGTCACAAGAAGTCAGGATCAGATCCTTTGAACCTCAGCAGCTTCTGACAGTTCTAGTCAGAGCAGTTAGAAAGACTGCGACCCATGTAAGGTTTATGCACGCGCAGCGACCCACTCGGCCCAACTACACATTACCAGCACAGCAGAAGGTTGCCCTACGCGGTAAGGAATAGTTCCGTAGTTTTTTTTTAGTTAACCTTGGCTCTATCGGACCTTTTTCTTTATCTATTACCACAGTAATTCCGTGAAGTGACTATATTTAGAATAGATTTGCAGCAAAGACAGATTAATAACATTTTTTGTAAAGAACTATTAATAAAACTGCCTTGCAGAACGAGCACTTACTCGCCGCATATTAACTAACGGTGAATTAATTATAGCACTGCATAACAATATTGGGCCTGGAGGAGTTTAAGTTCAAATCTAAGAAAAAATCTATTCAGATTTGGTATTTAACTAGGTAGTACATATTTACTAAAACATTTGAATCAGATACGTGTTAGGAGAAAAAAATCATCCGAAAATTAACTTCTGTAAAGGATGATCGATACCAGAGGGTCGACATGAAGATCAAACGACAGGCGTCTACTTGTGAAATGATCCATTCTATTCTCATTTGAGTGCGATGATTTTACGAGAGCGTGCCGTCCGAGTGAGACACACCAAACAGAATAATAATTGTGACCAGCCGCATATTTCTATCGTAAATAACGAAAATTGTAGACAGCTTCGCGATTTCTTCTTTTTTTTTTCTTCTAATTATAACCTACCAGGTATGTCTGGATAGGAGCATTATTTGATTTAATCACAACTTTATTTTAGCGACTGTTCATTATCGATTCTGCAAACGTGTTTCTGTAGATATAAAGCGTCCTGCTTCTCTAGCCTTTAGTATCCGATAGCCGAAACAATCTATTTTGTTAATTCATCATCCTATAGCTTAATTGTTCTCCGATAATTGTAATGAAACAATCAAAAGGTCGTCCGCAGAAGATCCGATCCACCTTTCCTAGAATAACTAGCCTTGCTTGCACATAATTTGGCTCATTGAAAAAGTAGAAATATGGAAACAGGATTCATAGTTATTAGACATAGTTTGCTTCCAAGAGTATTTCTATATATTTAATCGTTGTTTTGTAGATTGTAATCCAGAGCTTTTTGCAGCTCAGCTATCAATTCGTTCGTGAAATGATCGGCACGTGTAGCCGAATTCCAGATGGATAACTCTGATAATCGTAGGGTGACGAGATTCGCTTCCAGACAACTTTTCGTAGCGATTATCGATAACGAACTGTTTGTCTGGCCAGCCAGAGGCTGTATGGAAACATGCTCTAATGCGAAATACTATCATTTCAATTTCAGAACAGACAAAGCTATGATAATTTGATCAGGATTGAACAGTTCCAACTTCAGGATCATGGTATGCAGAGAGACGGAGTCAGCAAAAAGACTACTGCTAACAATATACGTTTGCAGACCTTGTCCATAAACACACACACACACCCACACCCACCCAAGTGACCTATTAATTTTTGCCATTTTAGCTATGAGTTAAGATATAACAGTATGTTATAACTTCTAAATAGCACCAGAAACGAGCCATTGGCAAAATGATGTACATGTAACATTGCATCGATGAACTGTTTCGCAAATGAGTATTGCCCGGTTTACCGTAAACTTTGCTGGCTATTTCATTCCGCTTTAAGTGGCCATCATATGGCGTCCATGATACCAAACGCGGCTTACTTTATGGCTTCTGTTGCGAGTCGTTACGTCCCGGCCGTTCAAACGCTGCGGTAACTTTTCATTCAAAGTTCAGCCATAAATGCATTACTCGATAATACTACAATATTAGTCGTTGCAAGCTCTCTTGTACTCGGTTAAAAAGGAACTGGTCCAATCCTTTTCAGTTTTCATAGTTTTAGCTACGGCTTGAGGAAAAGTACTTATAGTGTACACGTCTCTTGTTCCTTGAAAAACTATTATGTTGAACCTTCGTGCACATCGAGCAGCTCCTCAACGTTAACCACGCTAGTCAAATCTGGGCAGATTAGTACGTTACCGTCATTTTTAATTTACCAATCTTAGTACAGATCTGTTTTGAAGCTGGAAAGGGCGTACTACGTACGACACTGGCAAGTAAAAGTAGTACAAATTTAATAACTTTCTCAACTAAAAGATCTTATCGGGGCGATTGCGTGATTTCCGAAGATTATAGTCTAATCCTACGGTGCGTGGTATCAAAGCAAAGTACGGTGTCGGCTCTATAACGAAATGTAACGCAACGAACCAGCTGCAGCAATGGAACACTGAGGATTCTAACAGTTATTTAGTGCGTTGCAATTACTTGCTACTGAAGCTTGGCAATTGAATGAATGTTCGTTTAGCCTTTGCGTGACATTATTTATAGCAAAGTTGTCGAATAAAACCCAGCCACCAAGCTTTTAATTTTGAAAATTCGGGCTATAGACGTTAAAATATAAACAGTGTACATGTTTCCTTTCTGTTTAGCAATAGAGATGGATCTTCTCTAGTTGCTGAATCGATAGCCAGATAGCAAACGAATCTAGAAAATAGCTTCAGACTAGGTTTACTACAAATTTCACTTATGCTATCTGTTCTCTCCGGTATTGATTCAGTAGGCCTCAGATTCAAACAAATGCAGCCTTTATTAATATTGAAAGGCGTTGGATACTCACGAGCATAAGTTTTCAGTGATGCTTATCATTCGGTTCTCAAAAAGCTAGACAAGTGTGAAAATACAACCTACAAGTTCTTGAGGCGCCGGCTCTTTCTGTTTGTGCTATTGTGATCATTCTTAAATACGATATACATATATAACTTGATTTGTTTTCGTCTTCTATTAATAGTATAAAATGCGCCACAATATACAATTGTATGTATAAGGAGCGTTACGTTTACGACTTTAAGTATATTACAGTAAATACTCGTTCTAGCCCGAAATTGAGTATACTACATATTTTGACGGGCATAAACATAAAAAACCCCTAGTACTACTACAGTGATAATAACAACAATCATATATGAACTTCAAGAATCAGAGTCATAATAATGAGTATCTGAAGAATCTATTTCGACAATTTTTCAGACTTTAGGTAGCTCGACCGGAAGGGTTGAATTGGAAATTGTACTGATTCAGTTGAAGCTCATAACTTAACTTGTGCAAACGAATTTCTCAGCCCGTGAACGCCATGCATCTAAAAATATTACATTTGAACGCCTATTTTTTCTTTCACCACAGGCATAGTGTTACATATTACATGTAACTGGTTGCTTGGCATAATCCAACATAGCTTATCTGCACAGATTTCAGTCAAAAATGTTTGTAACATCTTTCTTCTCTATTCTAATACTCTGCCTAACCTCACTTAGATTTCCTGTTTAGAAGCAATAAAACGCAATACAAGTCGTATACATTCATTTCTTCGTTGTCATGAGATGGCGGTGAATTTTAACGGAAATATTGCCAACAGTGTGTAGCGTGACAAGTTTTTTTCTTTCTCGAGCAAAAAGAAGCTAACCTTTTCGTCCCGAGTAATGGAAATCCAATCAAGGAAAACCCAAATATCACCGATATTGTACGGTAACGAATTACTCTTACCCTCTTAGGTTGAAATCGATATTTTCGCAAGCGCGTATCTGGGCATGCGAAGCTTCTGTTTATTTATATCGAAATTGGCTCTCGCTATATCGCAGTGTTTAATAATTTAGTATGGCACTGTCTCATGTACGCACGAAAAGGTCAACAACATTCAATGGCATTGTTTTCGTGTGGACAAGCTTATTCTCATACGCTAGAAAAACCAATAAAGGCACTTTTCCTTGATAGGTTCTCTATTCGTATCTATTGGTATGCATTACAAAACGACTCGTTGTTTATTATAGTTAACATCTCTTCAGTTATGTCACTTATAGATCGATAGTGGAATAAACACGAGCATTTCTGTGGCAGGTGTCCGTTGTTACAGAGATAAGTGTCTAAGTATGACCGGCCATTAAAAAGTCCAACGGACTCTAAGCCATATCTTTAAAAGGGACAACGAGGCCAAAGCAGTGCTTTCTGCCAAAGATGGCAGTGTTCAGTAATTTGGCATTGTACTATTGTACCCATGAACTGAGCTGCCCTCGAATCCGACGTCGGACGTCGGTAGTTTAGCGTTGTTTGCGGAGTTCAAGGCGACCTCAGGGAAATACTCCGGAATCCCGAATGTTCTCAACTATAGCGATGTTCGCATAGCGCAAACGTAATAGGGAGGAAAATACGAACAAACTGATGTTATTTTTAGCGGTTCCCGTTAGCTGCTTAGTATATTTTCTCGCGCAATACGTTATCAACCAACCTACAAGGTCGTCAAAATAACGTGCAGCTAGATCTTACATTCACAATATTCTGACAAAATGTCTCTTGATTAGTCAGGTAGTGACCTAAGATTCTGCATACATAGCTTTTAAAGGTCTGACATTTTGCATGAGCATTTGCAGTTTTCATCAACTGAGCAGATATTGGACGCGTATCGATAAAGGTGCACTGAATACGTAATGTACAACTGAAGATTTACCGAATTCATAATACTAATATAATAATAATTAGTTTTGATTCGTATGTAAGCCAGGATGCACCTGAGAAGTATTATGAGGTAAGCTAAGGCTTGCTGAGAGACCTAGACTTAAATGAGGAATGTACACTGTTTGAACGCTGAGGTTCATGAGTGCTGATATGAATTGGAGAGCTATCCTCTGTGCAATCTGTCGGCTGCAGTTCACTCCTTAATGTTACGACGGATAGTAACCTAACCTAATCGTTTCTCGGCTCAGAATATAGATTCGGTTTAGCTCCAACATGTGATAACGTTTACGGCCGCGGCTAGATCTGTCTTCTCAAAGATGTGACCCCAGAAAATAAATAGTAAACAGCCTCACTTGGGTAAGTGTAATTAGTCAAATAAGCAGCATTCTTCTTTCGGTGAAAAATCAATGGCCAATTAGCAAAGCCTCGTTAGCAAGGAACATGGATCGTCGACCCGCGAGCATCGAACCCAGAGAGCAACGACCACTACTTACGTTATTTGTGTCATCGATAGTGCCCAAAAATAGGGTGGCCGTGACACAACGCCGACGCTGAGTCTAAGTAGTAATTCTATGAAAAGCGTACGGGCCCAAACAATATCCTACTGCCCATTGGACAAAACAACCGTCAATAACGAATCGGTACTTGAATGCTGAGTTCGCGCCGTCGCTGCTCTTCCGAGTCTTCCAACGCTCATATTTGAAAACATAAAGCAGGATACTTAGATTATCGACTTTGTTAACAGATGGACATTGGTTAAAGAAAGATTGAAAATAAGTACATTGGAATATAGTTGTCTCTGTAGGCAATACTCTTGAAGACCCTATAAAGTAAAATATTACTCACTAGCACTCGTCGGCTTCAACATCCAAGCGTGACACTCTTCTTAAACACTAACAATTTCAGCATGCACAAAACCTGCGAACAAGAACTCTGTGTGATCCATCCTTGTTCCTGATACCTAGTCGACACTAATAGCGCTCACAAAATAGTATATGCTTTTGTTTTGCTTATTCACCTATGCTGGAATACTGTGCAGTTAATAAATACCAGCTTATTAAATCTATTTATATCAAAGAGTCCAATAATGGTCCCTTGTGTTGAATATCCGACTGACGTTCTAGCAACATCCCTGCACCATACCACATAAGCTACATTTCTGATGGCTGGGAATATTCACAAATGTTTTCGCAGTATTAGAAATCCACTGTTAATACTTGCTTTAACTGGATTACTCAGGAGTTCGTTCGTTTGTTGACCCACTTTTCGAAGTTCCTGTGATATATTTCAATCACCTGCTGACTCGTCAGTGTTACTGCTCAAATTGTGTGCGGATACACGTTCAGAATTATTCACAGCCATACCCGTACAACACGACATGTTTCGAATATTCCATCTGATACTGCCGCTAAGCATTCCTTAAGATTGCCACACTGATTGGTCCTGGGCTTACTATACCTTATTGATAAAAGGTCCCGAATTATATGTTAGAATTCAGACGGTATAGGAATAGCTGTGTCTACAACTTGAAGAATCTGTCTATCACGTAGGACGACGTAATTTGTTGTGTGCCACTCCTTTTCACTCATTATAAGGACAACAAAAAACATTGTTTCTTGATAAACTTACCGAGGCTGCCCTCCATCTTCTAAAAATCCTCGGTCGAGAAGCAGTCGAGGCAAATCGTGTTGGTAGGGGGTACCCGTCGTGACGATTCTTTGCGAGTAAACACGAAACGAAGTGACAACCCACATGCAAGGCAAACAAGGAAGTAGATTAAATGGGGGTGTCGTTATTCGCTAAGCGTGCTATAATATGGCCTATACTGAAACCCAATTTCGCTAGCTATCTTTGTTCTTTGTCGAAGCAACTCAGCAGAACTACTTCCCAGAACACAATCTGGGTAACAATCCACGTAATGGCTGTTTTTCTAGTATTCGAGTCATTTGATTGTGTCATTTCCGCTGAAACTATAATCTTGATGCTTGAAACTTAACGACCCTTTGACCATTAGTAGTGGATGGTGGCCACAGCATCACGGATATTTAAATGTAACAGAGGACATAATCTGAGATAAAGGCGAATGAATCTATACTGCGTTGCTCTGTTCCAGGTACGGATGGTAGTTTTCATAGCGTGCTCGCGTTCTTGGACGTCAGAGACGTGCGCAAAGTGTACGTCTTCGTTTTATGCTCAGGTGCTCAAGCTAAATTTCAGGTATGCTGGCCATACTTGGTGTCATAGAAGTTGACCATCATTTTGCAAGACGGGTCAACACAATCCCTGACATTTCATTGAGTTTTAAATACATGTTAAATGTGGTCGGGCAGAAGCACATTTCGTCCAAAATTAGTGGTCCGAAAAGAAGGTCAGATGGCCCTCATGCCTCGTCCTTTTTAACACACATCGAAGTTCAGGGTTGTGAGTCCGGTCTAGTATATAGCACACACGGAAACATAACCCGGTAACTATTTATGCCTACGTGAATACGTTTTTATTTTGACTTTGTCGTGCGTTGGTCGTGAATACTGACAAATTTATTAACGCCGTCGTCCAGTTTATATATGTTTATATGATCGATCGTCGATAAGTTTAGTTTCAAGCAAGTTTACAATAGTAAACAGCAGACCTTATTTAATAGCCCCAACGTAGGAGCCCACTTTATATGCACTGATAATCAACGCGTATCTTTCGATAACTTGGTCTTTATATTTTAAAATAATTGCACTCCACACACACACGTTAGCGTAAAATAGATGTGCTCTGGTAAGTTTAACTTAATTAAAGCACTTACACACAATCAATGGCACAAGCAAGCTGAATACCGAGTTCAAAGAGACAAACCCGTGGTGCGCGTCATAGTCACTTTCACCAGTTAATACTATATACCACTCATAGCAACTCGTGGGTTTATTTTTGGGAAAAGAAGAGAGTTGCTATGTGTTGCGTGTCAAACTGCGAAATTGCAACAGGCGTTCGGCTACGGCCACAAAGATGGAACAGTCACAATGTGTAGAGGAGTGCAGCGAATGTCCGACAATTGGCTAAAACGAACTGAGTTTTTGGGATTGGAGTAAGGAACCAACGACTGACTCTGTGGCCGTTCGAATTCAAGACGTTGCGACGTACGGCGGCAGACAGGAAGAGTCCGCGATCAAACAACATTCATCCAATCGCACGCTTGCCTATACGCCGTAACGAAGAGTGCGGAATACCCTCTTCCCTTTATTTGAAGAGGCAAGCCTTGTCGTATGTCAATGGCACAGGCGTTGAGATCTATAAAGTTTTGTTTCGAGTAGTTATTAACAATGTACTACTACCAGTGTGATTGTTTGGTTGGCATGAATAGCATTTTCGTTATGGTGGAGACTTCTATTCCAAATATGCAGCGCGAGAGAGTCTACGTCGCAATTTTACCAGTATTTACGAGCCAACAGTAGCTGCCGATTACACTTGCCCACTAAGGTCAGTGGCCAGGACTATGCTTTTGAAAACTTTGTTTTTTTTATCGTTTTTTTTTTTACATAACATTTGATTGTGGACGATTTTGTACGTCTGTGAGATAAAAATGCATGCGTGAAAAGAAAGCATGCGTGTCCGAACATCTGCGTCATGATAGAAAATAATCTTTGGCGCACGTTTCTTAACAACAGTATACGTATTCTTTAAGTCTCTATTATCTTAAACCTTACAGATGATGGGAGCTGTCTCTGACTAAGAGATGCTGACAATAACTTTGAATTTGTTCAGGTGTGTTCGCGTATAAGAATATATCAATCCAACGAAATCTCTGAATTACATTGTGCCCTCACAATTCAGTTTGCTACAATACAATTAAAGCGTTTATCGAAATCAGTTGGCTGATTAAGCTGATAAATAGACACTGTGACGTGTGTGCAAAAACCACAAATCGGGATGCTATTCGCGGAAAACATAATAATCGCTTTCATTCAGCGAGGAGTACAGGAGTAGCGTTATGTAATAGAACAGCTTTGTGACAAAAAGTTTCCTATTATTATTATTATTATTATTTATGTTAGAATTGTGTTATTTAATAATTACAGTGTATAACTTGAAATAAATCAGACGCGCTATATTCTAGCCTCATATACCGCAAGCACAATGTGTTTACATTTTCAAAGAGATCATTACATCTGTAAAAGTTTAAATAATGCTTATACTACTATTTTTAAACCTTCTTTAGCAGATTAAAATCCTATAGCCTGCCGGAACATCTTGCTTTTATTGTCGTATATTAATCTTAAAGCTTTCTCAAATTCATTTGGCCATACGAGACACCAAGCAAGACCACTATTGGACAGAACTTGGACGTACTGGGTTCTTTACGTCCGCTACCGCTCTTCGACATCCCATCAGATGCCTGGTGTGTTCTTAGCACAAAACGATGTCTGTCCACGCTCGGATTTCAACCCAGACTACTACGTGTTTCTCAAGCTTTGCGCGGGACAACTGTAATCAGAGAATGAGTATCTAGGTTTTAGCCAACGCTAGAGGACGCGAGATTATTTTCTGCCATTCAAATGGAAAGAACACCAAGGATGAATTTTGCGACTCTACAGAAGAGACTTGAGATACTTTTTGGAAGGAAATAAGGAGAGGGCGTTGTTTACTAAAAACAATCACCGTGCTATCATAATCTTTGACGTGCTTACCCTCCTCTCCTTTCCGCAGTGAATCGAATCGTTGAAGTGTAGGTCTGTCGTCAATGGCTGGCCTGTGTGACGATTCATAAGGCCACCTCAAATATTGACAAACATGCCACTATAGTCCGATGTACATTTGTGTGTGTATTAAATGTGATAATGATACTGAAAGCGCTAAAACTGCCATTTAGAATAACTGAACTTGTTTACTTACACAGATCTAATGATAAAAGATAATAAAAAAAAATTCGATATATCTTTCTCCCTTTGCTCATAGGCACATTTAATGAAGTTAGTACGTAAACAAAGGCAGGTCTGCGCGAATCGATTTGAATTGTTTACCTTGAGCCCCCATCCTCACTGCTTCCTCCGTACTAAAACTGTGGGGCAGTGCTTGACTGACAATAGCTCACTGAACTATAACCATCATCAACAATGAGCACAAGCTACTCGATCAATTAAATACAACCGCGTTTATTTGTTCTGCAGGGCAAACATTGTACATTTTAATTAAATAGGTTTAGTCCGTTCTCGGGTGCTAACAAGTAGGGTTCGCCGTCTGACAAAGCAGAGCACTGGAAACGGTGTGAGCGCCACCGAGCGCAAGGCGTTAAATAATGCGTGCAAAATGTTGTTAATGAATGAATTGATAAAGAACAGTCGTTTATATTGTAGCCAGCGCGTTACTGTAAAAGATTGTCCAGTACAAAATTAAACCAGCGAAACTGGTATTGTGATTACCTAAACAAAATAAACTGCCGATGGCGCGAAAAGTAGTTTCATGTAGTTCAAAAGACAGGAGATGGCGTGCTTTAGCGCCTACTGAGATTGGCTATCGAGATTATGCGCCTTCTCATAGAAATGTAAGTAACGGAGCTTCGGAGCGACAGCGAGCGCACTCGTCGATTTCTCATTCTGTGATGACCATGATCGAAATCCGCGTCGTTACGATTGAAAACTTACTGATTTATCAGAAGGCGAACGCAGTCCCGAAAAAGCCACCGTGGTCCAGGTGCGAACTGGTCAAGTAATTCATGAAGGTAAGTTTTCGACCAACACAACAATGTGTTTCGATTCCAATAATCTAGGAATCTGAAGCATTAGACACTGAGGCTTTTTTAGATGAAGCAAACGCTCGTTTATGCGAATAATTATGCAAGGAGGTGACCCAGTAGGTGATCAAACTTCCAACATTTAAGGATTACTATAGTTGAGCGAAGATCATCTTATATACCATAATGCTTATCCGCTTTACGTGTACAATGCCCCTAACTTTTTATAAGGCTTATCACGTAAGCAAATGAACGAGGTAGATACTGGCTATTATGCAAGGATACGATTAGCCGATTGATCGCTAATCCATGCCTGTCACTCGTAAAGAACCGTCCATACAGCACGATAGGAAGTTGAAAAATGGAACAATGTATGTTTTCCTTACCGGACAACCAGAGGAACGGAAACTAAGGTAGACGGCCTGCAGCGAGTAGCCGGTGCGCGGTATTCGAAATTCAAGGTCGCGCAGCACGTGCCTCTAGCCACATTGTGTAAACAGCTCACGAATCAGCTTGGCACATACTTGATTTGGTCAGATGTGTCCAATGGAAAAATATTTTACCTCATTCTTAATTAATATATATTTTATAGCTCCTTGTTTATAGAGAAGTAGAGACGAATAATCAGGTTTCTAGGAGTGAATGTTGACTACACTTGTATGGTTTTAGACAAAGCTCGGAATTCTGCTATGTGGTGTTGATAGAGGATCGCACATGCTAACGATATCAGATAAGTTTGACCAAAGGCGCGTTCAATTTGAGACGACGTATAGCCGACAGACCAGCGTCAAGCCAGCCAGATCCAAAATATGCAATTCGACACATAGTGATCTGAAACAAAAAGTACAATTGATTTCGATCAGTCTCAAAAAAAGTTCGATTCTGAGAAATTTCCACCTTCCCACAAAAAGGACGGCGTTATCTTTCGCAACGATTTTTTAGTGTGGGCATCGTCATAACGTGTTTTCGAGAACAGCTTTTAAGCGCAGGACCAATTAAG